AAGAACCTTTAGTGCAGAAGCTGACACTGATGTTTTTAGAAAGTTTTTGTTACTTGTTATTTTTCTGTGCCATTGTCTCCACACAGCACTTCAATTATGTTGTTTAAGCTCATTTCTAAACGTCTTATTTTTTTTTCCTTTTTCCTTTGTATTTCATCTTGGGAATGTTTTATTGAATTGTAATCAAGCTCACAGATCATCAAAGGTGCTCATTTCAGTTAGTGCTTCTGGTTTCTAGAACTTGCTACTCATTCCTTCTTGAGAAGTTTCCTCTTTGTTTTCATGACCCATCTCTTCACTGGAGTCCTGGTTTTGTTGTTGTTGTTGTTGTTGTTGGTTTAGGTATTTACCTGAAAGGCAAAGTTAGAGAGATGGAGACACAGGCAGAGAAAAAAAATCTTCCATCTTGGGACTGAGCTAAAACCAGAGGCCTGGAACTCCATCTTGAGTCTCCCATGTGACCCAGGCATGTGGGTTATCTTCTATTTTCTGAGGTGGATCATCAAGTAGGTGGATAAGAACTGGAGCAACCAGGACTCCAACTAGCTCTCCTACAAGATGTTAGCATTTCACGTGGCAGCTTAACCCGCTGCACTAAGGCAGGCATCCCTTCCCCTAGAGTTCTTAACATATTAGTTGGCATTATTTCCGTTCCCATCCTGGTAATTCCAACATCTACGTCATATCTGAGTCACTTTTATAATTGCTTTCTTTGTCTCATCATATTGCGATTTTTTTCCTTTTGCCTTATGACATGTTTCTTTTTCTCACTTTACTGGTATTAATGTATGTGCTGGTTTGCCTAGGTGTAAGACTGTGTTTCCTGTTTGCTGCAGCAGAAGGGGCCAGGAATTCCAAAGACCCCCTGGGATTCTTGTTCTTGTCTCCTCCCTAGCTCAAGGCCCAAGTCTTGCTCCTCAGAGGACCCTGGGCCTTACAGCTCCTCACCGTCTCATTTTATTTGAGTCCCATTTATGCGACAGAAATGTGTGAGAGGGGAGGAAGCAGAAAGATCTGTTCTAGAATGTTCTGGTTAGTTCTCCATCCCTTCCTGGTTCTCTTTTGTTGGGGCCATGGCCCTCACCAATGTGCCCCAGCTCTCGTACTGCCCTCCCTGGCAGCAGGATTCTCAGTTGACCCCCTTGAAGCCCTCACTCCTGAAGCAGTTAAGACCACCGAGCTCCTGCAGTGCTGGAGCAGGTGCTAACCCAGTCCATTGCACCAGAAAAGGTTCTTGCATGCTCATGTTGACTGGAATGCCCTCACACTTAGCTACCCCACACTCAGCCTCCAGCACGGACCAGCATGAGCACTGGCTTACAGTGCTAGCAGCAGCACCCCCAGGCCTGCAGTCTCAGATGGTCCTTTCTGGCTTGCCTGTCTCTGCACACTGAGGGCAGGGGCTGTTCTCTGATGGGACCAGGAGCAGCTGTCCAGCTTCTCCAGTTTCTTCCTGCAGTAAGGAAAGGAGGAACAACTTCTAGTTCCTTGGCAGAGGTCAGCGCTGCATGAATAAATAAATAAATAGTGCCATACTCGTTTTCTCTAAATGATAGATTATGGAAGGATTGTTTTCAATGGCTGCTTTCTCTTTTGAAACTAAGGAAAGCTCTGGAGATAAATAGCCATTACAAGGTTCCAGAAGGCCAGTGAGAGCACGAGCAATGTGTTTGCTGCCACCACTCCCCACCAGTTTTCATGTTTGTAAAGCATGTTGCTATCTTTGCCATACACCGAAAACCAAGGGGTCACTGTGCTGTTCCTGATGAATTTAGATCAGTCGACTTATTCAAGAGCAAACAACTAGCTCGTCAGTGCAAATCAGAGCTAGCTTCAAACCTGGCCAACGCTTGTCCCAAAAGACACGAAGCCCCCGGTGTTGACTTCTCCCTCCTGTGGGCAATTATCACCAATACACACATTCAAGTGGGGACAGGGACCAATAGTTGGCATTCTTTTGAGAAAACGGGATGAAAGGAGGAGAAAGATAGGGAGCTAACTGTATGTTCAAGGACACAACCTACTGAATTTCCAAAGGGGAAGATTGAAATGTGGTGAGCAAGGGGCAGAGCCGACAAGGTAGGTGAGGGGGTGGGAGAGGCGATTGGGCCTTTGCGGAACCAACAGGACCAGCTGGGTTCAAAGAAGAGAGGCTTGGGAGGAGGAGAAAGAACCTCCCCATCCACCCTAACGGAGTAGAGAGAGCTGAGTACTGGGAAGGGATATGAAGTTCTGCAACGCTACATGTGGCAAGTGGCCTGGGGTGGGACACGGTATGGGACACGTGATGCAGCTTCTGGATTTCCACCTGTAAAGGATGGGAAAGGGCAAGGTGGGGCTGAGAGAGGGTGCTCTGCAGGTCTGGCAGTTCCTCAGCCTGCCATCAGGGACCTTGGGAGCAAAGAGCACCTATCAAGATCCATCTGCGACTCAAACATCTGAGCCTTTTACATTTCTGCCCTCCACCCTTCTCTGCCACCCGTGGGATGGGGATGAGGAGGTTGTGGTTGCCACATCTTGGTCTCTCCTTGTTGTCAGCAGCAAAGCAGGCTGCTGTGACTGCTGTAGAGTGGAGGATACGAGGCACAGCAAGGACTTGGGCTTGCACTCCGACAGCATGGTCCCTGACATGTCATCTTCCCAGGATCCTGGCAACTGCTGCCCAAAGAGAGCTACCGAGCAAGGTCGGCTGGTACCCAGCTAGAGTGAGACACAGCAGAGCACAGCCCAAGCAGTCAGATTTGACTGCACCAGGCAACTCATGTGGGGGGAACTGGGGAAAAACAGGCTCACACCCACAGCATTGAGACACATTGTTCTTGGTTTTTATTTACCAAACCCTGTTTTCCATCCCTGCCACTTCCATTCCCCCTCTACTAACCTGACTTTTTCTCCAAAGAACCAGGAGATGAATCTGTATGCTTGGGAATAGCCAAGGCTCACAGTGGGATTACATCATCCATGGTGAACTGTGCCTACTTCCAGAGAGGCTGGGGCCCAGGGAGGCTTGGAAATTCAACATAAAGAGACTTGCATACGATGTTTGATACAGGAAGCATTAGACACTAGGGTTCATCATACAGATGTTCAGAAACTGCAGACAGACCTCAGTGTGCAGGGAGGGGGTGCCTCTGCCAGAATCCTGTGAGCAGCCCTTGCTGTAAAGTGCACAAATGTGAGGGCTCCTCTTTCTTTACCTGCCCAGTTTATTATTATCTTTAGTCCGGACCTGGCCCAGCAACTCCATTTTCATTCTTTTGGCCTGTGCTCTGTCTACCCAGAGCGGGCTTGCAGGTCTTGACTTGCTAGTTACAGCTCCCTGACAGCCCCAAGCTCCAGCGGGTCCATTTCCCACTGAGAACAGCCCCCTTGGGGATCATTCGGAATGTCTGTGGCCCCTTCTTCACTGTTCTCTCCTTCTGACTTTGTGCTCCATCTATCCTTGTTTGTGATGTTTTCCTGTGCCCACCAGGTATCTCAGCTAATTATCCAGTCTTCTCTTCAAGGTGCTTTATTTGAGCTATCATTGACATTAATCCCTTTATGGATATCTCAGGAGAATACCAGAATATAAATTCTGAAGATAAGCTAATTTTAAATTCTGTTTCTTTATTTACTCAGACCAAAGCAAGTCAAGGCCATTTTTGTCAAACTTTGAGTGATGTAAAAGATCATTTATTTTTAAAAAATCATTTAAAACTTCCAAAACGGAATGTAATTACTTTTTTAAGGTAATGTTTCTTTGGGCTCTCATTGTGGTGCAGCTGCCACCTTTAATATCTCCATTCTACATCAGAGTGCTAAGCCCCAGTCCCAGCTGCTCCACTTCCTATCCAGCTCCCCTGTAATGTACATGGGAAGCCAGCAGGACATGGCCCAAGAACTTGAGCCCCTGCCATGCCCATGGGCATCCGATATGGGGTTCAAGGCTCCTACCTTCAGCCTGGCCCAGTCCCATCCATCGGGGCCATTTGAGGAGTGAATCAGCAGAAGAAAGACAACCCTTCCCTATCTTCTCCTTCTCTTCATCACTCTGTCAAATGGAGATGTACATTATGCAAAGGCATATTATGGAAAATCATGATTCCAAAGTGATTTCACACCAAAATAATCCTACCTTGTAGTCCCACTTTTTCTGTGAACTTTTCATTGTGTCACCTGACATCTGGTCACCTGCTGATACCCTCTGCCCCTGATGGACTGAACATACCATGGTGCTCCCCTAAGGTTGTATCAGCTAGTGACGTCATGGCCGTCTTGCTTTGAATAGGCACACACATTGAACTGCACACAATGAGAGAGTTCCCCAGCAATGCATCTCTCAGAAGGTGCTCCCACCACTGAGGGATGTGTGTAATTCATTCTCTCAGTTACTGACAAAAGAAGATTGAAAAAAGCCTGAGCAGGTTGACTGGGCAGAGCTAGAGAGGGAAGGGCACCAAACTGCTGCACCTGCCTGCCCGGCCCCTTCTCCAATTCAAGAACAGATTCCTGTGGGGCTTAGCAATAGAGTACTGACCTACACAAAATCCTGCACAGACCAACGGTCCAACTACACTGTCTCCATCCTTAAGTCTGGGTGAGTAGAGGGTGGAGGACTAGCATGCTGAAAAGAGAGAGACAGAGACAGAAAGAGAGAGAGAACCTGCAGTCGCTAACTCTCCCACTCCAGCCCCACAAAATCTCAGCTCCTCTGTGTTAGGAAAATGGTGACGTGATGTGCTGGACATGTTAACAGACCTGCAAAGGCCAGGTCATAACAAAGAGAGGAAAAAACTCAGGCCCGAATCATGAGCAGCTACAGCACAGCAGTGGTGGCCATGCCTCTTGTGCAGGCCCGGCCTTTGGGTGGTGGGCCGGGCAGGTGCCCTTCAGATACACACCAATGTCCCCAGCAACTTCGACACCCGTCACTGCCAACCGCAGCTGTGTGTGAGAACATCTGACTGCCACAGATGAAAATGACATTTCTGTGATTAATCCTTCCTTCCTTCCAACAGCTGGCTGTTCCGACTCCCTGATTAAAGAGCTCCATCACTTCAGGATTCTCGGAGAAGAGCAGGTGAGTTTGCATCCCGAAGGGTGTGCCTCAAAGTGTTGCAAAAGGTGGGTGCTAATGAGGTGGTCTGGGTGGTCTCCCAGGAGCCACCGTGCCTCTCCTGACCCTGAGACTGGGAAGAGCGTCAGGCTGGAGATGTGCGTGAGGACACTGGGCTCCTCTTCCATCCGTCAGCCCCGACAGGTTATTAATTGGCACATCTGCCATCTGCCAGAACTTCTCATCTCAAACCATGAGCGGCAGCAGCACAAAGTGACAGATGAGCAGACAAACGTGTGTGGAGGCGAACGACGCCTGTGGGACCCAGGGTCCCTGACGCTGCAGCCCTGGTGTGCTGGTGGGTTTCTGGTACTGTGAATGTGCTACCCACACTTCACCACAGCCACCTTCCATATGGATGTGAACGTGAGTGGCTTGCATGGCCCACTTACTGTAGGCTGTTCAAATGCTGGAAGACGCTTGGGGAGATGTCACACTGTAAGTAGATATGCCAGCCAGTCCTCTAAGGTGTTAAATATTACACATACATAATATGTGTGCATAACAGACTCCTGCATGTATCTGAAACATACATCTCTCGAGCCTTGTGTGGACTTGGCTGACTCTGGATCTGTGTGTTAGATGTAGGCAGCAAGGAGTCCTTAAGACACTTTGATAAATGATTGGCCGCCTAGCTCCCCTCTGTTGCTGACTTGTACTCCCACACCTCGTCGTGGCCCACTATGACCAGACACAGCCTTGTGGAGACGGAGCATGGTGTCTGAACCCTCCCCTGCTGCTTGCCATGTGGCTTAGACTTGGCAGGCAGGTTTCTGATTCGTGTGCTTTTGTTGAATGTCTGTGTGTGGCAGAGGGTGACTGCCCCTTTCGGACCCGAGAGGGAAAGCTGAGCGGGGCTGATCAAGAGCGCCCGGAAGCTGGAGTCCTTTCCACAGGCAGAGCTTCCTATTTTCTCGTGTCGCATCAATGTCCACTCTAATAGAAGACAAATCATTTATCTCGCACATTAGATAAAAGTTGATAGCAAACCCAACAGTCATCTCCCTGATGAAAACACCTGTGTCTCAAAGTCACTGTCCTGGGAGAGCCTGAGTCCAAACGCCTTCAATCCGGAGTCACTGAGCTTTTCCCCAACCTTTGTGTTCCGACCATGGAGCCTTCTCTTCTGGACCTGGACCAGTATTTGCAAACCTTTTCCGTGTCTGCGTTAGAGCCGCTGAGTGCTGAGGAGGGAAAGGAGCCTGCTGCAATCGTCTCCTTAGACTTGCGCAAAAGTTAAGACCTTCTTCACAGTCTCCCAGAAATTTAATCCTGCCGTAATCAAAAATAGTATTATCCTGATTAGTTATGAACATTGATTCCCACTTCCTAAATCATCACATTTTTTTCTCTTTTTCATCTTCTAAGCATTGATAATTACTGCTCACCTCCTGTGTGCTGAACCCTGTCCTAGCAAAGGCGGAAGGTGTTTCTGGCAGGAGTTGCGACTATCCACATCCCATGATGAGGATGAAAATTGAACACTGCAATTCACAGCATGTGGGTCACTAGTGACCTTGACCCTGGGAGTGATCATGTGAGAGAAAGGAGGAGGGGAGTGTAAGGCAGCAAACATGAACAGCTTTTAATTGTTTATTATTAATTGAGCTATAGGCAGGAAGAAAAAGAAGGCTGTAGCTTGGGATAAGGTGGTATGGGAATGAGAAAATTGTCTTGTACTATGGGAAAGAAACTTGACACAAGGCAAACAATCAGGTCTGGCGGATGGAAGAGGAACCCCACCCCCTCACATGTATCTCTGCTAGATAAAACCCATGACTCTGGAAACTGCCACGCGAGAGGGTGAGGAGTGGTGAAGGCCTTGCTGGCCACACCTTGGACTTCAAGCTCAGAGAGGATCCTTGGAGATTCAAGCAGTGGCTGGCATTACCCAAATTCCACTTTAAGAATGTCAGTCTTGGAGATGGTCTAGGGTCAAATGGTCCCAGAGAGACGAAAAGAATCGTCACAGGTGAGGTTGAAGAACTTGGTGGCTGAGTGGCTGTGAGCAAAGGAATGAAGGAGTCCCATGATTTTGTCTTACCCAGCCGGGTGAAATGGTGGGAGGGTGAGGACAGGGCATGGAACCTGGGTTCCATTCTGGGCAGATGTAACATGCCTAAAGCCTGGAGAAAGTCATATGGCAAAATTTGCTCTTATTTAATATTTATTTGTGATTACCTGAAAGACAAAGTGTCAAAGAGAATACACAAAAACACATCAAGGAATGGAGGGGGCAAGAGAGAGATCTTCCATCTGCTTCTTCACTCTTCAACTTTTATCCAATAGCCAAAGCCAGGCCAGGCCCAAGCCAGCAACTCAGAGCTCCAACTCAGTCTCTCACATGAGTGACAGGAATCCCAGAACCTGGACCAACTTCTTGTGCTTTCTCGGGTGCATTGGCAAGTGGAGCAGCTGGGACTGGAGCCAGCATTCTAATATAGGATGCTGGTGGTACAAGTGGCAGCCTGAGCTGCTGCTCCACAACACTGGCCCCCCATGTTGGGATTTGAAAGTTTGAGTTGGAGCTCAGAGGAGAAGAGGATCAAAATTTAGAAAGAGAAAAACTTGGAATCACAACCTATTGTACTTTAATCCAAGGGGATGGCCACAATCAGGTGAGAAAGGAAAGACCAAAAGCCAACTCCCAGAAGCATGAACATTAGGGAATTGTGTAAAAAGAGTGGCAGCCATCAGGTGATACTGGTAAGGAGCATCAAGCAAGGGGAACGTAGCACAGGGAGATGTTGGTATTAAGGAAGCTGAGAGGACAGAAGTGACCCTATTCTCTATCAAATGCTGTTGACAGGTAGACTCAGACCAGGTCAGCCAAGAGCCCCATCCTGTCGCACAGGAAGAAGGCAGCCATGACAAGCAGGTCCTGGGAGGCAGATACTTTTGTACAGGAGCTTGACTTTCCAATGGGGAGAGCGATTCCTTCCAGAAGAAATGCAGTGGTAGCAGGAAGCTTTAGAGTGGAGAGGACAGAACTCGGGTGGTGTTCACTGGCATGACCCAACAGAGAAGAGTCACTTGGTGATTCAGGAAGCATCAGCTAAAGAAGGGAAGTCCTTTTGGACACTGAGGAGAGCTTTCAATCTGTGCGGAGGAGGGACTGACTGCAGTCTCTGCTGAGAGAGCCTGCCAGAACAGGTGGTTTCTCCACAGTGGATGCTAAGGAAGTAGTCGCTGAATGCATGAAGACGCCATTGGTGACTCCTCTTTTCTCAGTGAAAATATGGTACAGGTTGTCTGAATGAAGACAGGGAGGTTGATGGGGAACAGTTTGGGAAGAATGAAGAGAAAACCTACCCTCTCCCAGAGAAACAATGGTGAAATCCTGAGGAAGCTGTAAATGCCTGTTTGAAAGGAGTGATTAGGAACCGAGACATCGGTGATCCATCATGGAGGAAGCCACCAACTGTGCCATTCCTGTTCAGCAATCTCCAGCTGCAGGAAGCTCCAGTCAATGCAGACAGAGACGCCCAAGGAGACCTGCATTAGCCAGACAGTGGCTGGAGCAAGAGGTCACAGAATCTTGGTCCAGCCACACAGGAAGTCAGTTTTGAAAGAGGGCCAGTATCTAGAAAGAACGTGTTGGGTTGATTAGCTAGAAGAGTTGATGAAATTCATAAGTTAAGCATCATCATCTCCCAGTAAGCACACTGGAAAAAGGACGTGGTGGTTAGAATGTGACAGTTGAGATTTGATGGAGGGGATCAATTTCTTGGAAAGAGAAGATTTGAGGAGGAACCATGAGAATAGAAGACTGAGGAAGGGTCATCAGGGCTGAGAAAGTAAGGCTGGAAGAGCTAAAGGGAAGCTGGGTCATCCATACAGGAGGTGAGTCCACCGAGGGTTGGCAAAAGGAGTAGAAGAGATGAAGGCTGAGCCAGCCACTGCAGTCTTCCGGGACTGTGACTCTGTGTTGATATCGCAGAGGTGGCAGTGAGGAGAACGGTACAGGTCTCAGAGAGGTAGAGGATTTGCAAGAGTCAGGGAAACTGAGGCTGCAGGTACCCCTGGGAACCAGGAGACAAGCTATGCCTCAGGCCTAGAAGTGTGTGTGCCTAAGACAAAAAGTTGCCTTCGTGTAAGAGGACTGTGAGAGAGATGGAGCTGTTTCAGTTAAGTCAGGGAGGAGAGAGCAATATGTTAAGAGGCAGATGATCAGGGAACTTGTTGATTGTTCCAGGAGCTTCGAGGGACACAATGAAAAGGTCGGGAGATAAGAGCATAAATGGGCTCATTGGAGACATGTTCAGACGCACACGGAAGTGTGAGATCTTGGGTAGTCAGAGGGCCAGGAAGCTCGGGTTTGCAAAGGAAAGTAGGAGGAAGATGATGGGTGGTCTGGCCAGGAAATTTCTAATCCGTAGAAAGCAAAGTACGCTCTCCATGGGGTGAGAAGAGGTGCTGTCCCCCAATATCCATGACCCTAAACCCAGGAAGGACTCTCAATCATCACCCAGTTTTCTTTCATTTTTAAAAGATGACTGAAGACAGGCAAACGAAATGTGTTCTTTTAGACAAAAGGGGAAGCAGATTATGGCAGAAGCAGTTCAGTTGTGGGTTGAGGGTAGTCTTGGAGTCATCCTGATGCCAGGTGGTGTTCATGCTCCGGTGAAGGCAGAAGTCTGGGCAGAGTGGCCTGCCCGGAGCGGTGGGTCAAGGACCAGTGACTCTGCTCAGGACTGCTAATGGCAACAGGAAAGAGGGGACTCATGGAGAGCTGTTGGTCAAGACTAAACAGAAGCCAGGACTTGGGAAGATGCAAAAGAGACTTGAGAGCTATACCTGAGTGCCCTGAAAGGATGCTCTGGAAAACATGACAGGACAGTGCACACCTCCTTCCCCACTCCGGGGACCTGAAGCTGGGGCCAGGCAGCCCATGGGTTGCTAACAAGCCAGAACTCACTTGTGCCAGTTCCAGGGATTGTCGTGTTGCCCAGCATCCCTGTACT